CTGGCAGGCTTGCACCTGGCACGGGCACCGTAGCCAGCCCGTGCCCCTTTAAGGGGTCCGGGGCCGGGAGGGGAGCAATAGAGTTTCCCTGGTGTTGGCCAGAGTGGCCACCAGGGAAACCTGGGGAGAGCTAGCCTCCCACTAGTTCGAATTAAGGGGCTACACACCCCTTAATTCGAACTAGTAAGTTCGAACTAGGCTTAATCCCCGTGGAATGAGGATTACCTAGTTCGAACTAAGCGCTCCGTTAGTTTGAATTAAATTCGAACTAACGGAGCGCTAGTGTAGCGTCTATGAAAGTTAGTTCGAACTAATGTCTGTTAGTTCGAACTAACTTTGTAGTGTAGACATACCCTCAAAGTAAGACAGAGTAGGCTGTTTCATGTCTTGAAACACACTTAACCATGGGCATGCATCACACTAGGGTAGGGCTATATATATAAATAGATGCAAATAGCTTCTTTCACACTGATGGGCATGAATACAAAGATTAAGGCAAGCCTACACATCACACAGGCCCCGTTTATGTCAGTTCTGCTGATATTAATGAAATGCAAGTCACCTGATTTCCACCCTTACGACAGCACTTTTAAGGAGCAACGACGGTCCAGGAATGTAACTACTAAAACGCATCTCAACAGAAGACCATTATACCGGCTACCTTTTGTTTTGGCTCCCGCCCGCGGGCCCCTTGTTGAGCCCCGCGTAAACCAAACCGCACCGCGGGCCGCAATCAAACGGGCTGCGGGCCACATGTTGAATAGCCCAGGTCTACAGCAAGGCTACCAGCGGGCACATTCTCGACTCATTCAGAAAATGGCTAAGGGGTTTCTTGTTTTCTCCTGGACTTGCACGGCCACTCCAATTATTTTATTCTGTGTTGGCACACCCCAGGAGCTGCATTCACTACCACCTACAGGGATGCAAAGTGACATTCTGGACAGGACAGAACTCTTCGGAGAGATGCTAGTTTGAGTCCATTCAATTTCTCCAATGCACAGAATACTGCACGCCTGCCACCACAGAAACCCAACTCATGCACTCTGGATTCCCTTCCAAAAACCTGAGCTCTCTGGCTCAACGTCCCCCCGCCCCGGACCCTTCTCCCATAAGGCCTGCTGCTCTGCCTATGCCCTATGGTGCGTGTTCTACTTGCCCTTTCCATCCCTCCCTTTGCACCCCACCTCCACTCCAACGTGATACCTCCACTCTCAGACTCTCGCTCCTCCTTGCTGATTTTCTCCAGCAGGTTTGAGCATATTTTGTTCAGGCTCTGGATCTGCTTCTGCAAAGTAAGAGTAATGAGAAAATGCAAGGACATTTCCAGCATAGTGCAGGACAGCAAGGCTCGTGTAGAAACCCTTTGCCTGGGGCCGTGAGACTGACTGCGGGCATTTAGGGAGCCAGGGCCAATAAAAGGTTGGGCTAGAATAGCCATGTAAACAACCGGAAGTCATTATGGTGATGTCACTTTAGGAGGAGATGAAGCCCAATCGTCTGGATCAGCTGGAGAAATCACATAAGAATGGCCATTATGGGTCAGACCAAAGATCCATCCAGCCCAGTGTCCTGTCTTCCAACAATGACCAATGCCAGGTGCCCCAGAAGGAGTGAACAGAACAGGGAAACATCACATGATCCCTCCTGTCGCCCATTCCCAGCCCCGACAAACAGAAGCTAGGCATATCATTCCTGCCTATAGCCATGGATGGACCTAACCGCCATGAATCTATCTAGCTCTTTTGTAAACCCTGTTAAAGTCCTGGTCTTCACAACATCCTCTGGCAAGGAGTTCCACAGGTTGTCTGTGCACTATGCGAAGAAGTACTTCCTTCTGTTTGTTTTAAACTTGCTACCTATACATTTCACTTGGTGACCCCTAGCGCTTGTTCTATGGCAAGGAGTAAATAACTCTTCTTTATGCACTCTCTCTACACTCGTCATGATTTTATAGACCTCTATCCTATCCCTCTTTAGTCATCCTTTTTGCAAGCTGAAAAGTCCCCGTCTCCTCATAGGACAGTGGATTCCATACCACTGATCATTTCTGTTGCCCTTTTCTGAGTCTTTTCCCATTCTAATGTATCTTTTTTGAGATGAGGTGACCACATCTGCACACAGAACAGCTGCTCCCCGAGTTACGGCCATCCACACTTACGACCAAAGTGGTCGTAAATGTGAATCCGAGTTACGAACGGCGATCCGCACTTACGAACAGCGCGGTTGCCATGGAACTCTATGGGATCCGAGTTATGAACACTTCGAGTTACGGACCAAGTGTTGGTCCGTAACTTGTTCGTAACTCGGGGAGCG